CCAGGAAGAGGGGTCAGGGCTAGCCTCAGCCACGGCATTTGGGAGGTGGACTCAGGAAGAGGGGTCAGGGCTAGCCTCAGCCACGGCATTTGGGAGGTGGACTCAGGAAGAGGGGTCAGGGCTAGCCTCAGCCACGGCATTTGGGAGGTGGACTCAGGAAGAGGGGTCAGGGCTAGCCTCAGCCACTGTGATGGCTCCTCTTATCATCTTGATTACATCTGGAATTAACCAAAAAGCAAGAAGCTGGGCACACCTGTGAGGGATTTTTATTTATTTCTTTTCCTTTTTTTTTTGGGGGGGGGGGTGCTTTTAGAGACAAGATTTCTCTAAGTAGCTCCGTCCTGGAACTCGCTCTGTAGATCAGGCTGGTCTCAAACTCACAGACATCCTCCTGCCTCTGCCTCCCCCTCCCATGCTGAGACTAAAGGCATGTGCCACCACTGCCCAGCTGATAGATTTTTAAAAAATTAAATCATCTGTGGTAGTGCCTGGCTTTAATCCCAACATTCCAGAGGCAGAGGCGGGTGGATCTCTGTGAGTTCTAGGCCAGCCTGGCTTACAGAGTGAGTTCCAGGAGAGCCAAGGCTACACAAAGAAATCATCTTGGGGAAAGAAAGGAAGGAAGGAAGGAAGGAAGGAAGGAAGGAAGGAAGGGAGGGAGGGAGGGAGAAAAAGAAAGAGGGAGGGAGAGAATGAATTATTTGGTGTGGGAACACCAATATTTAATCCAGACAGATCCACCTTTAATCTTGGCCACACCTGCTTCTGGCAGCCCAAAAAAGGATGGGGAGGAGGAAGCTCGCTCTTTCTGGAGAGTCTATTCCTCTCTGGCATTAGAGCAGACTTCTTTAGGATTCTGGTACATACTAAAGACGAGCTGAGGCATTGAGCCTCGGGAACTAAAAACTACTGGATTCATGGACCTTCTGTTGGTAAATAGCCATTGTTGGACCAGCTGGACCAGAGCCTATACATCTTCCTAATAAATTGCACACACTCTCTCATTCTATCAGGCCTGAATCCTGACAGTGATGGGGGATGTCCTTCTGATTGTATGCTTCTTATTGGTTGATGAGTAGAACACTGATTGGCCAGGCAGAAAGATAGGCGGGGCTAGGAGATGAGGAAAAGGCTGGGGAGAGAGTTGTAGGGACACCATGTAGAGGCTGGGAAGACAGGATGCATCAGGCATTCTTTGGTAAGATGAGACCATGTAGAAATGCACAGATTCATGGTTATGGCTTAATAATTAAGGCAGAGTTAGCCAATAGGAAGCTCTAGCCATCAGCCAACAGTTAATAATTTAATATATGTCTCTGTGTGCTTATTTGGAGCTGAAGATAGGTGGGACCTGGTGGGAGAGAAAACTCTAGCAACAACATAGTGGCTTTGGGACCAACTAGGCTTCAGGAAATCTTGTCTTAAAAACAGAAAGAGAGGCTGGGCATTTGGTGGCACTCCTTTGAGCCTACCTGGTCTACAGTGGGAGTTCAAGGACATCTGGGGCTACACAGGGAAACCCTGTCTCGGAAAACTAGAAAACACACAACCAGAAAGAGGCACTAGAGAGATGGCTCAATGGTGAGTGTTTTCTGTGGAGGACTCAGCACCCACATCGGGTGGCTGGCTCATCAGTTACTGCCTGTAACTGTAGCTCCAAGGGACCTGATACCCTCTGTGGCCTCTGTACACAGTACATTCGTGTGCATAAGCAATCCCATACATAAACACATGCATATACATAACCAAGAAAATAAAAGCTTTTTTTAAAAACGGTGGAAAACCGACTCAGTGACCAGCTGAGCTCGAGGCCTAGGACGCACAGTGGAGGACAGCGGCTGATGCTAGCACTTCCCATAAGTTATCCTTTGACTGGACACCCCTCGCCCAGAGAGGTGGTGGTGGGACAATCAAAACAAAAACCCACAACCTCCACACCAAAACGTTTAATGACAAGTCGTGGCTCCATCCTGGAATCCCAGCACTTAGTCTTAGAAGGTAGAGAGCAGGGCAGAGGCAGCTTCTGTCTCAAGGTCAGCTTCAAGGTCAGCCTCAGCCACCCAGCACAGCCTGAGTGAAACAAAACAAAGTGTGTCTGCATGACACCCCTCAACTTCGAACCATTATGTGATGCAGAGTGGATCAAGATGGAGACCAGAAGGAGACATGCAGGGAAGGCAGCAGCTGACAGAGGAACAGGTCACTGATCAGAGGGGTCCCTGAGGTGGGCTCTGGTTTTGTTTTGTTTTGTTTTTTCCCAAGACAGGGTTTCTCTGTAGCTCTGGCTGTCCTGGAACTCGCTCTGTAGACCAGGCTGGCCTCACAGAGATCCTCCTGCCTCTGCCTCCCAAGTGCTGGGATCAAAGACGTGTGCCACCATTGCCCAATTTCCTCATTTGTATTTTCTTTTAGGAGGGAAGTTACAAGGGTAAAGGGTGGTATGGAAGGACTGGAAAAAGAGTAGGATTGGGTGCATGAAGTGAAATGCCCAAAGATTTAATAAAATAAGTAAAACAAACAAAGACAACAAAGTATGCATTAGGAGAAAATTTAAATTAAAAAGGACTTAAGGAAATAAATGCTTTAAAAACAGACAGCTGGTATACTTGCTAGCATTATTAGCATGTGTGAGACACTAGACTAGACTGCCAGCGTTAGAAGAAAAACAGAAATTTCCCTCTGGAGCATACACCTAGCCCAGGCTAGATGCAGGACCCAGAGGTAGTAGAGCCCAGAAATCCAGGATAGAACCAAACAGGACTGGCGCAAAAAAAAAAAAAAAAAAAAAAAAAAAAGTCAATTAAATTATTTCTAATGACATTCTGCTATAATCATAGACTGGTGTGTATCAGGTGGCCGGAACTGTCATCAGAGAGGCTTCCTCCAGCAGCTGATGGGAGCAGATGTAGAGGCACACAGCCAAACACTAGGCAGAGCCAAGGGAATCCCAAAGAGGGGGAGGAAGGATGGTGGGAGCCAAGGGGCTGAGGACTCCAGGAGAACGCGACCCACAGAGTCAACTGAGCAGGGCTCGTAGGGCTCACAGAGGCTGGCCTTGTGTGGGTCTGACCTGGGCCCTCTGCACGTTATGGTTTTGTGGGACTCCCAACAGTACGAGTAGGGTGTCTCTGACTCTTCTGCCTATGACTGGGACCCTTTTCCTCCTACTGCGTCCAGTTGATCTGAGGGTTTGTCTGCCTTGTTGTAATTTGGTATACCATGTTGGGTTCATGCCCCTGGGAGACCTGTCCTTGTTTTTGAAGGAAGCTGAGGAGTGGATCGGAGGGAGAGGGAGGTGGGTTGAGCAGATGGGAATCCTGGCAGGAGGGGAAACTTCGGTCTGCATGTAATGTAGGAGAGAACTTTTTTTCTTCTTTTTGGTTTTTCAAGACAGGGTTTCTCTGTGTAGCCCTGGCTGTCCTGGAACTCAAGAGATCTGCTGCCTGCCCCTGCCTCCCAGGTGCTGGATTAAAGGCATTTGTCACCACCCTGCAAGAGAAGAATATTAAAAAAAAAAAAAAACCCGAGTCCTCCCTCTTTTTTTAAATCATTTACATAAAAAGTATATTTGTTTATATGTATGTGGGTGTTTTGTATGCATGAATGTCTATGTACCATGTGTATGCCTGAAGTCCTCAGAAGCCAGAAAAGGGTACCAGGTCCGCTGAAACTGCAGTTAGAGAAGCTTGGGAGTTATTGTGTGGGTGCTGGGACCCTGGGTCCTCTGGAAGCAGCCAGTGCTCTTAACCACTGAGCCATCTCTCCAGTCCCTTGTCTTCCTTGTTTGTTTTTAGAGACATGACCTCATGGCTGACCTGGAACTCGCTCTGAAGATGGGGATGGCCTCGAACTCAGAGAGCGCCTCCTGCCCCTGCCTTCCAAGAACTGGGATTAATGGCATGCACCACTATATGCCTGGCTTTTTTTTTTTTAAATCTTTACAGTTTTTGAGACAATGTTACTGTGTGTTTCATGCAGATCTCAAACTCAGCTACCCTCAACCCTCAGCCTCCCTTTTAAGTGCTGGAATTATACACATGCCTCACTCTACCAGGCCCCTCTACCAGTTAATAGGACTGGCCCCGCCCTGTTCTTTCCATTCCTTCTCTTGTCTGCCAGTAGCTGTCTCTCCTACCCAGCAGCCACGCCATCTCATGGCCGGTCGTCTTCCTGGTCATTGCCCCACCTCAAGGCCTTTGCCCACATCTGTCCTGACAGAATGTTCTGAAGTTTAAAGAATTGCCTCTTCTTATTCCCAACTCACCCAATGGTGTCGCCTCAAAATCTTCTGACCATGCAAGTGCAATTGTCCTGACCCCCTCACCCCCATCTCTTTGGGCAGCTGAGTGTGTCAGGAGTTGGCTCGTGCCTATAATTGCAGCAGTTGAGAGGCTGGATGGAGACGGCAGGCGCCTTTAATCCCAGCACTTGGAAGGCAAAGGCAGTTGATCTCAGTGAGTTCAACACTAGCCTGGTCTACAAACTTAGTTCCAGCATAGCCAGGACTGTTAAATACAGAGAAACCCTGTCTCAAAAAACAAAACAGAGAGAGAAGAGAGGGAGGGGAGGGAGGGAGGGAGAGAAATAGAGGGAGAGAGAGAGGGGATTAGAAACTCAAAGTAGGGGCTGAAGAGATGGCTCAGTGGTTAAGAGCATTTGCTGCTCTCAGAGAGGACTTAAATTTGGTTCCCAGAGCCCACACAGGGGCTCACAACTATCGTCAGCTCTAGTTTCAGGGTATCCAAAACCTTCTAGGCTCCATGGACATTAGGCCCTCATGTGCCTGATATATACATGGAGGCAAAATATTCATACATACAAAATAATTTTTTTTAAAGTGAGACATGCCCACCCCCCACCCCCACCATGCTGATGTGAAAACTGACCTGTAACTCCCACTGAAGGAGGGAAAAGGACAGTTTGGACGTCACAAAAATATATTAAAACAGCGTTCCCTTATCCCAGCACCCTCCCCTCCCCAGTGTCCACTGCCCCCCACCCACCAAGGGAAGCCAGCCAGGGCAGGGAGGCCCCGGTGAGCCAGCTGAAGGCCAGGACCTGGGGGTGGGGTGTCCCTCCAGCCTGGGAAGGAGGCTAACAGTCTTTACAGGTTCGACGCCACGGTCGACGAGGGGGCCGCTGGGAGGTCAGAGGTGCAGGAGGGTCAGGCAGGATGCGGCGGACGGTCGGGCCTTGCCACAGGGACAGAAAACAGAAGAGAAATGAAAGGTGAAGAGCAGGAGAGACACCACGGGGGGGGGGGGAGAGGGGTAGAAGAGGGAGGGGCCTCACGGGGTGAGGCAGGGGGAATCTGCCAAGGCCACCAGTAGCGCTCAGAGGACAGAGGGCCGCGAGGGAGGGCCCCAGAGCAGGCAAGGTCAGGCCACAGGGGCACGTAAGAGAACAGGGGAGATGTCTGGGGCCTGAGTGCTCGGAAGCAGCAGGAATGCTGCAGAGAACCAAGACATGTCACCTAGAGCTGGGACAGAGGACAGGTGAGCCCTCCAGAAAGGCTAGAAGGGATGGAAGCAGGAACCTGCCCGCCACGCCATGCTGCACCCCACCCTGTGTGCGGCTAGAAGGTCCTTCGGCCCAGTCTTTTGAACACGCTCACAGTGCCTGCATGGTCCATTTGGGCACTAGGGCTCTCGATGGAGCTGCTCCCCCAGGGCCCTACCCAAGTCCTCTTAATGGCCAACTTGACATCAGCTGAGGACTTACTCTTGGTGCTTGTGACCTGGCTGTCCTGGGCCTCAGACACAACAGCAGTCTTGCCCAGTCTCTGAAGGACACTGACTTTGGGCAGGGACTCCGGCTTCTTCTCTGGCCCAGGGCGAAAGGGAAGTGCCAGGCGCCGCAGCCTCGGAGCTGTTGTGATTGCCGAGCTGGTAGCCTTGGCTTTGATAGTCATTGCTGGCTGGGGACTGGCCTTGGTGGGACCCCTGCCTAGCTTCTTCAGGACTCCAGCATACGGCAGGACAGAGCTGCTGCTGTCATTGTCACTGTCCCAGGCCAAATCCTCATCCATCTCTGGGGTGGCCCCTAAGCGGCTGAAAACTCCAGTAGGCTGTGGGAGTCAGAGAAGACACAGTGGGTTTCTAGTCACTCAACATGCTGCCTGACCCGTGCTGGCCTCTAAGTCGGCTGCCAGGTCAGTGTCATCCCATGTGATGGTGAAAGGGGGACCAGAGGGAGACCTGACTATGCCAGGGGGCTCAGAGGGGTGCCTAAGGAAGGACACAGAGCGCTGCAGCTACTAATAAAGACAGGGAGACCCGGGGACACCCTGCCAAGGGTAGGGAGAGCACAGGGAAGATTCCCCGGGTCACCTTAGCTGTGCATTGTGCCATGCCTCAGATAGGAGGATCCAAGGCCTGACATGTAGCTGGGCGTTGCTCTACCACTGAAGCACACCCCAGCCTCTTACGCCATCAATTACTTAGCAGACAGTTAATGTAGCCCAGACTAGGATGGTCAGTGTTGAGGATGCCACAGTGGTTAGGACAACCCTGGCCACACCCTCCTGAAGCCAAAGCACAATGGAGGAGGCAGCCTCAGAAGCCACCCCACCAATTCCACAACTTCAACAGTCAGAGTCGTGTTTCATGAAAGCATATCTTCGTGGATTCTCTTTTCCTTTACTTTTTGAGACAGGGGTTGCTATATAGCCCACAATCTCAAACTTGAGATCCTCCTGCCTCAGTCTCCTGACTGCTGGGATGACAGATGTGGGCCATCGATGCCAGCACTTGAAGGAGAACAGCATGTTAGAGGGCGGCGTCAGAGACAAGCCACATCTTCTCAGAGATGCCAGGGACTGTAGGCCCTCCAAGGTGATTGAGCAGAGAAAAAGAACATGCACTCGGTTCCTGAGGCAGAAGTGACACTTCTGGGCACTCAGTAAAGCCTCACATGGCTGGACCTCCATTCCTATGAGCCTGTGTTACCATCACCATCATGGAAGGTTCTGGGAGGTGAGAGACAGAGGGCAGGAGGCTCTCCCCTGGTGAGTATGTGACCGTGGAAGCTACAGTGCCCACTGTGGCGATACCTGCTTGCCAGGCCCCAGTCCCAGTCCCTTGCTGATAAGAACTGGTACCACACAGATTCAGGAACTGAGGCACAGATGGCTAAAACGACAAGGCCAAGGCCATCTAGCCAGCCAGTCAGAGTGAGCTAGGGTATTCTAAGTACAAGCCATGCTCGGGGCCTACAGCAACAAGAATAGGTTTTGTTGTGGACACAGCTAAAAAGCAAACCCTTGGAGGCATCGGTGAGAGTCTGTGATCCCAGGACTCACGCAGTTGAAGAATGATCACGAGTTCTAGGCCAGCCTAGGCTACAGGAGAGACTGACTCAAAACAAACCCTAACCCTGAACATCTACTCCTAAAGAACTGGGTGTGGCATGCCTGTCACCTGCACACTCGAGAAACGGAGGCAGGAGGGTCAAGAGTTCAAAGTCACCCTTGGCCACACTGGTTCAGATCACCCTGAGCTACATGAGACTGTCAAAGCAAAAGAAACAGAAGAACTTCCTGTTGTGTGGCATGTGGGGACAGGGCTTCCAGGGCTAATGGCAGCAGTGTGGCATCCTATCCACAGGGGGGGCAGGGATGAAAACAGAGGCCGGCACCCTGAGCTGGAGGGCTGGAGGCTCAGGGTAGGAGATGCTGTGGTAGAAGACCCGACAGTTGGGACCTGGGGGTACAAGAAAGAAATACAGCAGCCAAACAGCCTGGGACTGGGTTACAAGTCAGCCGAGGAAAGACAAAGGGCAAACAAGAACTCCACCACGGCCAAAGAGAAAACAGGTCCAGATGGTGGAAGAGTACGTCCACCTCGTCCACCCAGGGTCAGATGCTGAGTGTCACGAAGTACACCGGGAGGAGCAGCACTTGCCCACGTGAGGCACTCCAGCACCACGCCACACTGCGGTAGAACATTATTTTCAGGTGTGTGACTTTTGTTTATGCTGCATTTGTTTAACTCTGTGAAGCTGTGTTACTGTGCCTGTCTAAAACACCTGGTGGTCCCAATAAAGAGCTGAACGGCCAATAGAGAGGCGGGAGCTAGGGTTGGCAGGCAGAGAGGATAAATAGAAGGAGAAACAAGGATCAAAGAGGAACAAGAGAACAAGGACAGGAGGGCATTAGGGGCCACCCAGGCAGCCACAAAGAAGAAAAGTAAGATATACAAAACTAAGGAAGATAAAAGCCCAGAGGGAAAAGGTAGATGGGATATCTTAAGAAAAGCTGGCTAGAAACAAGCCAAGCTAAGGCTGGGTGTTCATAACTAAGAATGAGCCTCCGTGTGATTTACTTGGGAGCTGGGTGGAGGGCCCTTACAAAAGCAAAAGAGTAAAAAAACATAAACAATACTTACCTTAGTCCCTGCCGTTGTGTCCACCTTGGTCTCAGCACCAAGGCGATCGAACACAGATGTTCTATGGAGACCTGGGACAGAAATGGTACCATGAAGCAACACCTGCCTGGTGGCCCCATGGGACCATGCCTAGACTGACCACAGAGCAGATGACGAGGTGGGATGACCTAGTAGGGACAGACTGTGCTTGGCTCCGGCTTTGCAACTGCACGGATGGCTCATGTTGACCTTCCCACAAACTCATGACAAGTGTCAAATCTGGGAGATCAATGTTCACCTTGACACAAGCTCAAGCCATCCATGAGGACGGAGCTTCAATTGAGAAAATGCCTCCACAAGATTGGCCGTAGGCAAGCCTGTGGGGCACTGTGTTAATCAGGAATTGATAGGGTGGTCCTGGGTTCTATAAGAAAGCAGACTGAGTAACCTGTGTGGAGCAAGCCAGTAAGCAGCATCCTCCATGGCCTCTGCATCAGCTCCTGCCTCCGGGTTCCTGCCCTGCTTGAGTTCCTGTCCTGACTTCCTCCAGGGATGTGGTAGTGTAAGCCAAATTAAACCCTTTCCTCCCCAACCTGCTTTTGATCATGATACTTCGTGACAGCAACAGTGACCCTAACTAAAACAATCAATGAAAATTGATCCGTGAAATACACTGTGCCTCTGTACAAGTTGCTATGGAAGGGAAAGTGTTTCTTCTTCAAGACTGGGTCTCAACGTAGCCTAGGCTAACTTTGAACTCACTATGTAACTGAGGCTGGCCCTGGACTCTCGATTCTCCTCCCAAATGCTAGGATTACAGCTGGGTGCTACCACACCCAGCTTTTGGGTAGAGTTGTGAATGTCCACTTGCTCCTTTCATGTTTGTGATTGTGGACATCTGGCAGAATGTGATGAATGGTGACGAGTCCTCCACTAAATAAAGCTGACATCTCAGACAGACCGTGTTGGCACACACCATTAATCCCAGCCTCTGGAAGCAGAGGCAGGGGGGTCTCTACTTCAAGACAACCAGACTTATCTACAGCTCAAGTTCCTGGGCTATAGCCAGGGCTACACAGAGAAAGCCTATCTCAAACAAACAACAACAAAAACCCTACATCTCCACCAATATAGTGTTCAGTGAGTCACAGCCCAAAATACTATGGAAACAAACAACCATTAAAAAATAAAAATAAGCCACGAGATCCGGCATGGTGGCCGGATCCTTTGATCCTAGCACTTGGGAGGCAGAGGCAGGAGGATCTCTGTGAGTTAGTAGCCAGTCTGATCTACAGAGTGAGTTCCAGGACAGTCAGCACAAGACTCATGCAGGCACTGTGCTCTTTGGTTGTAGAACAGAGAAAATCAAGCTGGAACTGACTAGAAAAGCAAACTTCCTCCTTGATGGCTGGTTCCTTAGTGTTGGAAGGAACCATGCAGGCCACTGAGAGAAATAGCAGGTATTACCCAGCAGTGAACCCTGAATGCTCAACTATCAACCTGCCAGGTAAGGCCTGCCCCCTGGTGTAACAGTGGCATGAAGTTATGAAGTTAACCAACAGCTCTATTACACTCGAGGCCAGCCCCACAGGGGGAAATACATCCCTGGCATGGTAACTGGTCAAATGCCCATGGTGTAGGAGATCATAGGATGAGACCTTGCAGTGCCTTAGAGTACTGGTGTTCACTGCAGGCCTACTCTTAGCCAGGTACGGCCGCTTGCTTCCCAGGCCAGCCATAGCTGTCTTTTTGTCCATGCTCTCCAGGGACCAGACATGAGGAGCCCAGCTTCATGAACTGCAGGATGACAGCGCAGAGGCGAGCGAGTCTCTTCTGTGGTCACTGTCCCTTAGCCACCAGCTGTGAGCTGCTCCCCCCTGAGCCCCACCTACTGGGCAGGAACATCACTGGGCAATAATTAAGAGAGTTCCATCTGCAGCCCACACAGCCCGTACCTTTCGCTGCCTGCTGCTGCTCCAGGATCTTGCGGGTACGGGGCGTGGTCCCCTTGGGCATGTGGATGATGTACTTTCCCTCCATCTCGGCTGTGACCCGTCGCCTCTTGGTAGGAGCAACCAGGCTCTCCTCCTCCCTGCGGGCCAGAGCTGGAAGAAGACAGCGGGTCACCTCCTTCAGGGATGGAGGTTCTGAGCTTGGGGGGGGGGGGGTGCCACATGACAATCAGCCTGTCCTTTCTTTGGAGACAAGGTCGCACTATATGGCCCAGGCTAGCCTCAACTCTCAATGTCGCTGCTTCAGTCCCTGGCGGGCTGGCTGATGGGCGTGTACAATGCCCAGCTGCACACCCGTGTCTCTCGCAGCCATCCTTGTAGGACTGGATCGTTCATGTGCCCAGCACAGCTGCCCCTGTCGCCAGTCTGAGCTACTGAGGACCTTAGTCATCTGCTGTGACTACACCACAGATGTGCTCGGGACTCGCAAGCGCTCTCTCTCTCTCTCTCTCTCTCTCTCTCTCTCTCTCCTGTGGGCCCCCTGGGGTGCGCAGGTCCTCATATCTCCTCAGATCCCTCGGTGCTGCCTTCAGAACCCCAACTCCATCCGTGCTTTCACTTCCCGACAAGTAATCAAGGCCCACCCTTACTGTTCAGGCATTACGCAGAATTAATTATACTTCAAAATATATGTATTGGGGCTGGAGGGATGGTTCAGTGGCCTGGGTTCAGTTCCCAGCACCCACACATCAGCTCACAACTGTCTGTAACTTCAGTCCCAGGGGACCAGATGCCCTCTGTGACCTCTGCTGGCACTAGGCATTCATGTGATGCCCAGACATGCATGCAGACAAAACATCAACACACGTGAAGTCAGGGAAGACTTAAAACTATATTTATGATGTGTGTGCACATACACGACTCTCCCTTTGGCAGGCGGGTCCAGGGATTGAACTATGGCAAAAGCCTTTACTCACTGAGCCGTGTCCCCAACCCTAAAGTATACTTCTTTTCTGTTGCTAAGCCAGGGTCTCACTATGTAGCCCAAGCTGGTCTGGAGCTTGTAATCCCCCTGCCTCAGCCTCTCCACTCCGGCATGCTCTATCACACCTACTGTATACTTCAAATACAGAAAAGAATCCCTGCACGGTATCAGGAGGCAGACTGATCATCATTGCTTCAGCGCTTGGTTAACTACTTTTAACTTTCTGGTTTTCCTTTTTGGTTTGCTGTGACTCTAGCTAGTTTGGAACTCTCTAGATAGACCAAACCAAATGTGAATTTGGAATGATCCCCCCACCCCCACACCGCCTCTGCCTTCTGAATGTGGGACTTATAGATATGTGCCACCATGCCTAGATTTTTACATTTACTTAGTGTTTGCTTATTTTTGTTTTCCAAGACTGGGATTCTCTGTGTAGCCCTGACTGTCCTGGAACTCACTCTGTAGACCAGGCTGGCTTTGAACTCAGAGATCCGCCTGCCTCCGCCTCCCTAGTGCTGGGATCAAAGGCGTGCGCGCACGCATGCACGCACGCACGCGCGCACACACACACACACACACGCGCGCACACACACGCACACACACGCACGCACGCACACGCACACACACACGCTCATCTTCTGCTCACCCATACTCTCCTGCAGCTCTACCCAAGAGCCCTCACCGGCAGCCTTGGCACTCTTCGCTGCCATCTTGTTGGACACAGTGACGGAGATCTTGGAGGTGCTGGTATCTGGTCGCCTTGGGGGAGTGTGGGGTGGAGAGTCATGGTTCAGGCTGTTGGTGATCATTCGAGAAGCGGCTGTGGGAGGAAGGAATTGAGTCCAGTCGTGCTGTAGATGCCCTGGAGAAGGGACTGGGAAATGGAGGAGTCTGAGGGAAGTGTCTAAGGAGTGAATTCTCAGCCCAACAGTGCTGGAGCCAGGGTATGAAGGAAACACTGGGCTGCACCAGGGAGCAGCAGCTGTTGTCACCCTGTGGCTGCTCCATATCCCAGGGACCAGCTCACCATGACCGATTCCTTCTCCTGCTGCTGCGCTGACCTGTGACACTACTTTGTCCCACAGTCCTCATCGCCTGACAGGATTTTCTTTTTGAAGGTTTTGGCTCACTCTGGGCTGGCCTGGGACTCATACCGTAAGCAGGGCTGGTTAATTCACAGCAATCCTCCTGCCTCAGCCTCCTGAGTGTTGGGATTATACATACGAGCCACCATGCACAGCTTTGGTTTCATTTTTCAGTTACTTGAAATTATAAAAGGCATTCAGGCCAGGCATGATGGGACATGCCTTTAATCCCAGCATTCAGGGGTGGCTTAGTCTGCATGCATCCCAAGCTGTCAGGGCTGTAACTACCTAGTGAAACCTTGTCTTGGAAGGAAGGAAGAGACTCAGGAGGAGAAGGAGGAAAGGAAGGAGGAGGGAGAGAGGGAGAGAGAAAAAGGCATCCAGAAGGATATGAAAATGTTATCAACAAGCAATTGAAAGACTAACAAAACTCATCTACACTACTGGTGGCCAGGGCTGTGGGTGCCCTGAAAGGAGACAATGAATGAGTGGGAGAGGAGGAGGGGCTCTGGAAGGATAGCACGCTGGTCTCTGCCTCTGGATGCTGGCTATCAGCTGTCTTATACTGACTGCTATTCAGCAGAGCCTCACAGGCTAAGCACACACCCCAGAGCCGAGTTACAGCCCCAGCCAGCAAAACCATGATGATGGAACCCTTTTCTGTACACCTGCTGGGGGCTTGTTAGAGAAATGAAGCCTCATTCCTAAAACCTCCCTGCATCAACACCTTTGGGTGTGCCCTGCCAGCACTGACTCTTTTCAGCCTTGTGACTCTGCTTTGTCCAATGGTGTGAGAGCAGACGTTACAAAATCAGGAGACTGCAGAGGCCCCAGGGTGGGGCCTGTCTTCTAAAGCTGCTTTTGGGGACCCTGTGACTCACTCCCACTGCCAGAGCATGCCCAGGCTAGCCTACTGCATGACAGAAGGCACCACGTCACCTCTATTACTGCAGCTGACATCGAGCCAGTAATCGGATGTGTAAATAAAGCTGTCCTTCAACCAGAGACCTGCCGAGCTGGATCGGAGGACAATGACCAGCCAACCCATAAAACTATGAGAGGTAAATGTCTGTGACTGTTTACTTATCTTTGTGTTTATTTATCTGTGAGAAGTAAATGTCTGATTGCTCATCTTTGTGTTTACCTGTGAGAAGTAAACGTCTATTGACCATTTACCTTTGTGTGTCCATTCATGTGTGTAAGCTGTGTCATACATGTGTGACATACAGATGTGTGTCCTTGCCTCCTACCTTGTTTCAGATAGGGTCTTTCGTTTGCAACTACATACACCAGGCCAGCTGCCCTGGGAACATCCTTCCATCCCACCTGGGATTACAGATGTGCACCTCAGCATCCACTTAACATGAGCGCTGAGGATCCAAACTCAGATTCTCACCCTTTCGTGCCAAGCACTTTACCCAGCATGCCACCTACCTGACCATTTATTTTTGTGAGACATCTACATATATCTTTTTATCTTGAGAGAGGGTTTCACTGTGCAGCCCTGCCTGGCCTAGACTGCTCTATGTAGACCAAGATGACCTAACAGTCATAGAGAGCTGTCTCCACACGCTGGGATCAAACTGCTAACAATGAAGAGTTCCGCCTGCCTCTGCCTCCTGAGTGCTGGATTAAGGTGTGCCGCGTCTTCATCATTTCTGGGGCTGGGGGCCTCAAGCACCACAGCACATGCGCAGAGGTTAGAGACAACTCAGGTTGCCAGGTTTGCATATCGAGAGCCTCTGCCTGCTGAGCATTCTTACCAGGACCCCACCTATTTTTTGTTCTTTCTTTCCTAAGATAGGGTCTCACGTATTCCTGGCTGGTTTCAAACTCATTACTTTGAACTTCTTTTCCTCCTTTTGAAACTGATTTGTTTTGTTCAGGTGTGTGTGTGTGTGTGTGTGTGTGTGTGTGTGTGAGCCATGTGTATACAGGGTCCTTTGGAGGCCTGAAGAAGGCATCGGATCCCCGGTGCCGCAGTTACCGGCATCTGTGAACTACTTGATGGGGTGCGAGGGATGGAGGAAGAGGCAGTAAGTGTTCTTAACCACTGAGCCGTCTCTCCAACCCCCTACTGTAAACTGCTAATCCTCCAGCTACCACTTCTCAGGTGCCGAGATCAGAGGTATGTACTACAGTACTATGTGCCTGGATTGTTTGGAGCTGAGGATTGAGTCCAAGGCTTCATGTACGACAGACGAGCATTGCCAGCAGAGTTCTAGCCTGGCCTGTGTGTTTTAGAATAGGGTCTCACTCTGTCCGTTGCCCAGGTCTTCAGAGTCTGTGTGCAGACTCATCTACTCACTGTGATTCACTACAACCCCTGCATTGATACATGGGGTGCTTCTGCAGCTGCTCCCAGATTTGCACCATCACCCAGCACACGTTCCCAGCCTATGTCAAATAGAACCCGTGGCCTCTGACATCGTTCCCATGAGCATCCTTCCTTGGTCCACTTACTGCTAGGAATGTAAAAACTGGCCTCTTTTTTTTTTTTGCCTTGGGGACTGTGCAGCTTTAAAATGACACCAAGCACACTGCTAAGGTGCTGTGTGACACTGCACTGCATGGAAAGGCCACGGTGTGCTCCATGGAAAATGTGTGTAGATTACAAGCTATGTTCTGGAATGAGTCATGGTGGAGCTGGCTGTGAGCTCAGCAAATGACTCAAGAGCTTGCAGTAAACAAGGTGTCCTTTAAAAGGAGCACATGGGGACCGTTCAGATAGCTCACTGAACAAAGGCAGTAACGGGGGTGAAGGTCCTGATCCCCGGGACCCATGTGGTGGACGTGCAGAACAAGTGGGGGTCATTTAGCCACCACCTGTGCCAGGACACAGGAGTACTCCCCAGACACACACACACACACACACAGAATAAATGAATGTAAACCATAAATACATTTGTTAAAAGTATGGTTAGTCAGTTTTTTTAACAGCTCCACATAAACTGGAGGCATCGGGGAAGAGGTGAAAACATGCCTCCATCAGACTGGCCTGTAGACAGGTCTGTGGGGTATTTTCTTGATTGACGCTGGTGTGGAAGGGCCTATCCTGATATTGGCATAGCAGCAGCAGCAGCGGTTGGTCCTGAGAGGTGTAAGGAAGCTAGCGGGATAGGCATGATGGAACAATGTCTATTAATCCCAGTACTCAGAAGGCAGAGACAGACATATCTCTGAGTTCAAGACCAACCAGGGCTCCATACTGAGACCCTACTTCAAGAAGGAAAAAAAAAGAAAAGAGCAGGTAGCTGTACGCAAGCGAAAGAGCAGTATTCGTCCCTGGCCTTGATGTCCTGATCAGAACAGATCTCCTTTAGTCATGCTTTATCAGTAGGCTGTGTAGTAGTGGTGCATGCATTGAATCCCAGCACTTGGGAGGCAGAGGCGGAGGCAGGTGAGCTCTGTGAGTTCAAGTCCAGCCTGGTCTACAGAACAAGTAAGTTCCAGAACAGCCAGAGCTACAGAGAAACTTTCTCAGACACTTTGTCTTGAACCACCCCAACCCCCAAAGGAAACCAAGCAAACTCGGACAAAGAGAAACAGATAAGTTAGGGGTGCATGGCTGAGGTGAACTGAGTGATGATGGGAGATGTCATTCTGTAAATATGTTTCCCATATTGGTTAATGAATAAAGCACTGTTGGCCAATAGGAAAGCAAGATAGGCGGGACTAAGAGACAAGGAGAGGAGAGGAAGTGGTAGGGAGAAGTGCCAAGATGGAGGACAGAGAGAGCAAAAAGCCAGCCCCTCTCTCCGGTAAGATGAGACCACATGGAAATACTTAGATTGATAGAAATGGGTTAATATTTAAGACAGAGCTAGCTGATAAGAAACTAGTAACTGGCCAACAGAACTATATCTAATACAGCGTCTCTGTGTGTTATTTGGGGCTGGTGCGGTGGTGGGACCAGACCGGCAGGGAAAAACTACTCCTAACAGAGTGAAACAGCAGAGTGCATGATCAGCCTGTGCCAGGCTGTGGGCTCCATCCTCAGTACCACCAAAAGAAATAAATCAGATGCGGTGATCCTAGAAGCAAGATGCTAAGGCAGGAGGATAATGACTTCAAGGCCAAACTGGGCTATATAAACCTCTGCTTAAAGAGAGAGAGAGAGAGAGAGAGAGAGAGAGAGAGAGAGAGAGAGAGAGAGAGAGAGGAGGAAGAGAGAGAAAGAGAGAAGCCAGAAAGATGACTCTGAGGGGTACAGGTGCTTACAGTCCAGCCAGATGCCCCAAGTTTGAGCACCGAGATTGACATGGCGGAAGATAAACCAACCCCAACCCCCACAATATAGCCTCTAACTTTCTCAGACACTTTGTCTTGTGAGAGCACACATACAACACATATTTAAGAAAATATGACTACTGAGAGTGAGGACGGGCTATTCAAACAGTCACTCCCTGCCTAGCATACCTGGCCCCTGACAGGGCTTCATTGACTGCAAACTACAAGGGGGACGGGATGGCCACGTGTATTCCCTCCAGAGACTGAACAGATGCAACTCACCGCTGGAGGCGCCACGGCGAAGCTCACCCTGGACAGGGCTGGGGCTGCAGGGCACTGACTCAGTGGCAGCTTTGCACATGTCCTGGAAATGAGAGGTACCGGGGTTAGCCCAGGACAGGGGACCTAGGACCGAGCACCACCCAGAAGGTTGGAACACAACTGCTGGATTAAAAGCTGTCTGGCAGCCGGCAGTGGTGGCGCACACCTTTAATCCCAGCACTTGAGAGGCAGGAGGATCTATGTGAGATTGAAGCTAGCCTGGTCTACAGATTGAGGAGTTCTGGAACAACCAAGGCTACAAAGAGAAATCCTATCTTCAAAAACCAAAACAAAACAAAAGCTGTTCTGCTTTGGGGTTGTTTTATTTTTTAATCCACTTTTAGTTTTAAATATGTGTGTGTGTAGTATACGTAAATGCAGTTGCTTGCAGAGGCCACAGGTATGGGCTTCCTTGAAGCTGCAGTTATAAGCGGTTGAGAGTTTCCTGACATTAGTGCTAGGAACTGAACTTGGGTCCTCTGGAAGAGCAGTGAGCACTCTTAACCTCTGAGCCAGCTCCATACTACTCAGTTCTGGGCTAAAAGAAAGCACCCTGTGTCGTGCAATATTTGTTTAACTAGGTAAATATGTGCTACATATGCCAGGTGGCAGTGGTGCACGCCTTTAATCCCAGACTCCGGAGGCAGAGGCAGGTGGATCTGTATGAGTTCAAGGCCAGCCAGGTCTACAGAGTGAGTTCCAGGACAGCCAGGGCTGTTACACAGAGAAATCTTGTTTCAAAAAAAAAAAAAAAAAAAAAAAAAAAAGTGTTTATGCTGCATGTGTTTACTAGGTAAAGATGCGCTGTTTCTCCTGCCCTACCTGAAGCACCTGATTTGGTCTAATAAAGAGCTGAATGGCCAATCACTAGGCAACAGAAGGACAGGCGGGGCTGGTGGGGCTGGTGGGCAGAGAGAGTAAGTAGGAGGGAGAATCAGAGAGAGACAGACAGACAGACACCTGGGGCCAGCCAGACACAGAGTAGGACACACAGAATGAAAGAAAGGTAAAAAGCCATGAGGCAAAATATAGATGAAGAGAAATAGGTTAGATTAAGATATAAGAGCTAGTAGACAAGCACAGGACAAGGCTGAGCGCCCAGAACTAATACTAAGTCTCCACGTCCCGACCTGGGAGCTGGTTGGTGACCTGGGCTGGCTAGACAGCCCAGCAGGTTGACGCCACATGAAGACTTGAGTTAATCTTTGGGACTCAGGATGGTGGAGGGAGAGAACTAACTCCCAGAGTTGTCTTCTAACCTCCAAACACACATGTCCACACATCCCTGACACACACATTCATCCAATATATACTTTAATTCTCAATCTAAAATTTTAAAGAAATACAATGTTTTGCTGACTCACTCTCCATCTGAGTCTATGCCTCTTGCTTGATAAAGTCCTTTTTTCAGGGTCCTCAATGAGGAATAGTTGAAGGCCTGCTTCTAGAAGTTACTGTAAGGGATCAGGGCATCTGACAGCCTCACCAAATAAGGTGGAGAACTGACTGAGGATAATTCCTTTTATTAACCGGGGGCCCCATGTGCATACATACGCATGTGAACAAGTATAAGTCATATGTGTATATCACACACATGTGAAAAATGGAAAAAGAAGCCAGGTGGTGTTGGCACACACCTTTAATCCCAGCACTTGGGAGGCAGAGGCAGGAGGATCTCTGAGTTCGAGACCAGCCTGGCCTACTGAATGGGTTCCAGGACAGGCTCCAAAGGTACAGAGAAAGCCTGTCTCAAAAAAAAAAAAGAAAAAAGAAAAAAGAAACACAAAATTAAGGTGTGCCTTACTGCATAGGGAAGACAGGAAAACACGGCTCAGAGAAGTCAGGCAACATGCCCAATGTCACACAGCAAAGAACCGAACCTGCCTGTGAACACTGCACCTTCCTTTGCTGCCAGGCCTCCTACTGGTCCCATGACAGTCCCCTCCAGCCTCACACTTTCCCCAGGAAGTCACAGAAGAGCACCTACCTGGCGGTGTACCACCTTGGCATGCTTGAGGATGGCGATGATGTCCCCCACTACAGTCACACCCAACTCATTCATGATTTCCTTATTGAGATCTAGCAGCATGCTCTTCTGGATTCTGCAGGGAGGACAGTGATGAGGGCCCATCCGGCAAGTTCCCACCTCCTCCTGCCCAGTTACCCTGTCCCATCAGCCTCCTCACCGATTATCCACAAACATCACAGCATAATTAACAGCAGGTCCTGGAGGAATGCCAGCTTCCTTGAAGAACTGGATCCACTCGGAAGTGGCTGGGGGTGAGACAGGACAGTCATTCACAGCAAAATGCAGCTTCAGTAGCTTTCATAAATTGTGAGCCAGTGTGTGCCAGCCCTGCACTGTGATTGCTCAACTCTCGGTGGGATGAGAAGCCGGACCACCTGTGAGCCAGCAGGCACTGAGTCCCCTAACTGGGAGCTGAGAGGTCGGGAACATGCCAGGGCCAGATGCACCCGAGTTCCCAGGCCTTTGACCTTGTTCTCTTACAGCTTCACCGTGTCCTGGTGCCTTACCCAGTGTCCCTGGCCTGACAGCTCTCAGCACCTGGCCTGATAGGGAGCCCAGGTCCTGGAGCCAGTCCGTGGGCCTCAGCAGGAAGCCACTGAGCCTCAGGAAGAGGCTCACGTTCATACACCGTATCAGGAAGCTTGGCTGGTTCAGTCCTGGCTCTACCATTTCCTGTTTACGGGACTTTGGGCAAGGTACTGCTCAGTGCCTCAGTTTCCTGTGACTGGTAATAGTGCTGTACATCTACCAGGTAACTTCCTGGGCACTCAGCACAGGGCCAATCCTGTTCCTAGCACCTGCAATGCCTTAGACCCTCAGGGCAGAAGTCAAGAAATCCATGCTAATGTTTCAGTACTAACTACACCCATGTCCTTGGGTCATTTGTGGATGGATGGACTGAGTCCAGACAGCCCTACATAGCTTTCGTGGAGCCCAGGCCTGGCCTCAAATTCAGTATGTATCTGAGGATGACCTTGAACTCCTGATTCTCCTGCCTCCACCTCCCCAGTGCTGAAACTGTGCTTATGTGCTGCCACCTACTCAGTCTATTCGGTGATGGAACCCAGGGCCTTGTGTGCGCTAGGCAAACACTCTGCTAACCAAACTAAATCCCTCTTTTTTGCTTTTTTTTTTTTTTTAAGACAGGGTCTCAGCTGGCATGGTGGCAAACACCTTGGGAGACAGAGACAGGAGGATCTCTCTGTGTGAGTTCAATGCCAACCTGGTCTACAAATGAAGTTCTAAGACAGCCAAGCCAAGGCTATATTGTGAGACTCTTGTTTCAAAAACCAAAAACAAGACAGGATCTCATGTATCTCAGGTTTGCTTAGATTTCAGCAGGTAGCTGAGAATGACCTTGAACTCCTGATCCTCTTGCCTTACTATACTTGATCACAACTGTGCACCGCCTGTGTAAGTCCTATAGAGCCTGGTGTCCAAGGAGTTGCAGAATCTGCATCAGGCTCATACCATCATGTCACGTATTATAGAGACAAGGCAAACACGTGACCAATTGAGCCGTCAGAAACCAGTGGCCATTAATAATACCTGGGCCAGGAGGCTGAAGTAGGGGGTTTGAGACCAGTCTGGGATGGGTGAATGATCCAGAGAACTACAAAGTGAAACATTGTCTCCAAAACAAACATAAAACAAAAAAGATGTAGCCCCTACCCAGAAATGTTACATTGCCTAACAGTGTATCTAAGAATCAGTGAGATGTGGTTAATACTCTATCACCAGGAGAAATCTTCACCAACATACATTGCAGATGTCTATCCCAGAACAAAATAATTATCCTTCATGTCTGTTTGCAGTGCTGCAGACAGAACATGCCTTATGAATGTCAGTTAAGGGCTCTACTCTAGCTCTGAGTCCCCTCCTCTGGCCTTCAGTAAACCATTAACACTGAGCCACTGGGGAGTCTTAGGCAAGTACTCTACCACTTACCTACATCTCAAGCCCTAAGCAATATCCCATGACAATGACATCTGTAAACAAACATGTGAAATACTACACAGCATTAAAAAGGAAAGACAACAGTTATGTTTAGCCCTACAGGCATCTCTCAAATATCATGCTACATAAAGGCATACATCATGATGACATACTACATGGTTTTTGTTCAAAGCCTGTGTGCTGCTAAATGTTTGTCTTTTAGTTGCTTTTAATTCCATGCAAATATGCTTATGGATTTTCCTTATCATTCCCCCCCCACACAAGAAAGGTTTTTTTCTGTGTATCCCTGGCTGTCCTGAAACTATCTCTGTAGATCAGGCTGGCCTCAAACTCAAGAGATCCACCTGCTTCTGCCTCCTGAGTGCTAGGATTAAAGGGGTGTGCCGCCACTGCCTGGCTATGGATTTTCCTTCATGTGCAATAGATCACAACATTTTCCTAAGCCATTATGTGATCTCTGTCCCTTGACAACCCCAATAGACAGCTTAAAAAGAGCTGGGGGCCTAGGTGTGGTGACACACAGCTATAAGCCAACACTTGGGAGTTTAAGGCAGGAAGACTGAAAGTGGCCTGGGTCACATAGGGGGACTACGTCTCCCCCACCACAAAAACAAAAAGCAAGATAAAAAGCAGGCAAGCTATCCAGGCTGGTGGTAGTGCCTACGATCCCAGCACTGAAGGTAGAGACAGGAAGGTGTAGAGGTCAAGGTTGGCCTTGGCTCCAGGAATGGCAGTTTAGCCTGGGTTAGTATGGGCCTGTATCTGAGGAAAGAGAAGAGGGATAATCTAGGGCTGTCTTGAAGCAAGCAAAATTGACATCTGTTGAGGATTGTGCCCAGAATTCCACATGTGGTATACTGTCCACAGTCCAGGTTGCAGGATTACCATCTCCATCTAACAGGTAGAAAAGCCTAGGCTCTCACTGCCCAGGTGAAACACGCACAGGAGAGCCTTACCAAGTTTCCCGGGCCAAACGGCTAATGCAGGAGGCCCAACTCAGGAGAACAGCCAGCCAGCCTTGCACAGGCTCCAGCCCCGCCCCCACCTCAGTAGAGCTCAGCTGCTCCTGCCTGTCATCAACCCTCCCCCCTCCACCTCTCTAGACCCAGATCATACCCCAGAAAGGGAGGTGGGCAGAGGGGCCCTGCAGGGAAACCAGACTCACCCATAGTCACTGAGACCATCGTCTCCCTGGCCTTGACCCTGCTTCTTGGAGCCTGGAAGAGAGAAGGGAGAGGGCCCATTTGTCGGCTTACAGAGAGCCTCAGACTCCCGGTGTTGCCGGTCTGCCTGCCAGAGGAGCATTCCTGAACTAGGGGCTCAGGACCCAAGAATAGCCTGGAGCAGCTGGCAGGACATCAGCCTGGGACAGGGCTGCTGTCACAGCTATCACTGCTGCCTGGAAAGGAGCTCCAAGATGGTGTCCTAGTTAGGGTCCCATTGCTGTAATAAAACACCATAACAAATAGCAACTTGGAGAGGAAAGGGTTTATTTCTTGTTACAGCTTGCAGTCCATCTTGGAGGGAAGTCAGGGCAGGAACTCCAGGCAGGAACCTGGAGGCAGGAGCTGATGCAGACCATAGAGGATGCTGCTCACTGACTTGCTCCCGTGGCTTGCTCAGCCTGCTCTCTTATAACCAGGACCACCTGCCCAGGGATGCCCCACCCACAGTGGGCTGGGCCAGCCCACATCAATCATCAATGAAGAAACACCCCATGGACTTGCCTACAAGCTAATTTTACAGAAGCACTTTCTCAATTGAGAATCCTCTTCCTAGATGATCCTGGCTTGTGGCAAGTTGACAAAAAAGTACCAGCACAGAAGGTAAATGTCCAGCTCCCATTCCTCACACCATGACTGAGTGGCCCTCAAATCCCAGCACATGGACCCCGTCATTGCTCTGTCAGGAAACCTCCTGACAGACTTAGGCACAGTGGCACCACCTTCTACCCCACAACTCAGGAAACTGGGACGGGGGACAGCCGAGGGTACAGAGTGGGACCTTTTCTTTGTGTTTGTTTGGATGTTTATAGTCCTGGCTGTCCTGGAACTCACTCTGTAGACCAGGCTGGGCCTGAACTCAGAGATCTGCCTGTGTCTGCCTCCCAATGCTGGGATTAAAGAAGTCGGCCACCACATCCAGTGTGAGGCTCTTTCTCAAACATTAAGACAGAAACCAGACATGGTAGAGAAAGCGTCCAAAATCCCAGCATTCAGAAGACTAAGACAGGAGGTTCACGAGTTCGAGGTCAGCCTAGGTTACGTAAGGCTCTCCATTAAACATAAAACAAACAAACAAACAAACAAAAAGATGTAGTTAGCATGTAGGTCAGTGACAAATCTTTTGCCTAGGGTAGTCTGGTCCTCAGCAAAATAAACAAACAGGCTTGTCAATGTTGAAGAACTTAAGAACTCTGAGGGAACAGAAGCATGGAGCCCCGTTGGGGGTGGAGGAGCGGAAGACAAACAACAAACAAAACAGCTATAGAGGCAATGTTGTGGAGAAAGCATGGATGGCCAGGGAAGGCCAGGGAAGGGAGGGAGCCATTTCCAACAGGCTGGTCTGCAAAGAGTGAGGTGTCCCCTGGGGAGGGGGGGAATGTGTGGCTCTTTAAGAGGAAGAGTGTTCCAAGAAAGGGACAGAGTCTAGGGTCCTCAGCCAGACGCTCCTCTGGTAACCAAACTGGGAGCGGGTGAGTAGTGGGGAGGGTACCAGGCCCCAAGAGGCTCCAAAGAAATAGAAAACAATTTTTCACTTAGATGAACAATCGTTTTAAAGCGGGTTGAAGAGCTTCAGATGCCAGCCCAAGCTACATACTACGTTCAAGGCTAGCCTGGGCTGTACAGCAAGACCCAGTCTCAAGCAGGTGGGTAGGGCTAGAGGTGCAATTCAGTTAAGAGAGTGCTCCCCTAGCAGGCACAAAGCTCTAGGCTCAATTCCCAGCACCATACACACCAGGTACACACACCTGCAGTCCCAGCACTTGGGAGGGAGAGGCAGGGGAGAGGAAGTTCGAGACTATCCTTAGCTACACAGCAAGTTCTGGATTTGACGCCAATAAACAGCACAAGAGAAAGACCTGAGAATGTCAGGACATGTCAACCAACCACCAGGTCACAGCATCACCAAGATGCCTTGCAACAGCCCCACAGAGGGAAACTATTATTAGTCCCATTCTCCCCGATTAAACACACACACACACACACACACACACACACACACACACACACACACACACCTGACTCAGCAAGGAACAGTCAGTTGCCAAGTGTCTCATGTAGCAACTGACCTTTCTGAGATTCAAAAGCAAGTTCTCTCTGCCTCCGAAGCCCATGGGGCAGGTCCTCGGGAGTGTTTACTCTGTGCCAGGAACTGAGAATATGCATATCTCAGTGGCTTTGCATGATGAGCCTGGGAGGAAGAAAGATGAGCAAAAAGAGGAAATAAAATTAAACACAGAGCGAATAGTAAGCCCAAGAAAACATGGCAGGTTAAGGGCAGGGCCAGGACCCGAACTCAGGTCAGCCCAATGAATGGAGACCCAGGGACACAGCAGGCATAACCAGCCTCTCCTAAGAAGGCCTCAGTTAATACTAAACCAGAGTACCCTAGGGCAGCAAAGTCACTGCTGAACTCAATTTCACCTCTCTAACACCATCTTGTCTGTTTGGTTTGGTTTGTTCCCATTTGTTGAAACTAGGTCTCCTGAAATTAGTCAAACTGGCCATGAATTCATAATCTTCCTGCCTCTACCGCCAAGGCTCTGAGCTTCTCAGTACTGTCTTAAAATAGCATTTCCAGGGGCCAGGGCGATGGCTGGGAGGCTAAGAGCGCCTCTCACTTTGGTTTTAGTTGCCAGCACTCACACAGCAGGTCACAACAACCTGCAAACTTTAGTCCCAGGGGAGACAGCCTGGGCTCCAAGCACATCAGGCATGTGTATGGTGGAAACGTAACAAGCAGGTAAACACGCATACACATAAAGATAAATGAACCTTTTTTAAAAGGCCATCTCGGCCAGATGTTGGTGGCGCAAGCCTTTATCCCCAGTACTTGGGAGGCAGAGGCAGGCAGATCTCTGTGAGTTCCAGGCCAGCCTGGTCTACAGAGCGAGTTCCAGGACAGCCTTCAAAGCAACACAGAGAAGCTCTGTCTCAAATAAAAAAATTAAATAAATAAATAAATAAATAAATAAAAGTCCATCTCTTTCTGAATACTAAAAATTGACAAAATTAACATTTTTTTTAAATGACAGCTCTCGAAACTCAAAGAAATACCATGTACTAGAGTCCAAATGCTTTTATGTCCTTAGGAGACCTGAACCCAAAGCATGGCGTTGGGGGCTGAGTTAGGAGCACCACAAGTCTGAGGACAGCCAAGGCTAAACACCAAGACCCTGTCTCAAATTAACCAAGAGGAATGGGAAAGTAAGGAGAGGGATGAGAACTTAGACCCAAAACCTGGTTTTGCTCTACTTTTCTGGGACTCACCTCTCAGAGCCATCAAAATGATCCTATTGCTACCCATCACACCAGCAGACAACTGCAATCCCAGCACTCGGGAAGCTGAGACTGAAATTTTGAGTTCCAGACCAGGTACGCTACATGGAAAGACCCAACCTCAAAAAGCCAAAGGCTGGGAAATGGCTCAATGGCAGAGCACTGGCCTAGCTAGCAAACACTTTAAAGAAAAAGATAAGATAACCTACTCAAGAGGGTCTGCCTCCAACACAGACAACATGAATTCCTTGTCTTAAACCTACATCCCATGTGGTGGAGAGAACTGACTCCCAAAAGTGCTCCTAATCGCCACACAAATGTGTGCATAGGCTCACTGTCCATCCATGGTGGAAAATCTTTATAAAGGTATCGTGTGGGGCAGGTAAAGGCCACCGGGCCAAGTTGTCCTCTGACCTAACACACATGCAATAAAAACTATCATCTATTGGTTTGTTTTTATTTATCTATTTTCAATACAAGGTTTCTCTGTGTAACAGGCCTGGCTGTCCTGGAATTTGCTCTGGAACTCACTGAAATCCCCCTGCCTCTGCCTCCCAAGTGCTGGGACTAAAGGGGAGCACCACCACTGCCTGGTTAGTAAGGTTGCTGGGCGTTGGTGGCGCACACCTTTAATCCCAGCACTTGGGAGCTCAGTGAATTTGAGGCCAGAGCCTGGTCTACAGAGCTAGACCCAGGACAGCCAGGACTGTTATAGAGCGGAACCCTGTTTTGAAAAATAAATAAATAAATAAATATAAATATAAATACATAAACAAATTATTCAGTTTTCAAGTACCTTTCATTTCCTGCCACAACTGAAGAGACTGTTCTATTTCTATTCTATTGCAAGTAAGTTTTTCTTCTCCTGGCGAGCAATGTTAATTTCCCAAATAGGATAACAATGTAAGTTTCCCCTTTAAAACTGAGGAACATGCATCGGTCATTATTTTAAATCTCTACTTCAAAACTCGGCAAACAGCAGGGTGTCGATCTTCCCGACTGTTTTCTTGCTTTCTCTGGGCTCCCGCTCCTCTATTTTCTTGAAACTCCCTTTACTACAGTCCCAATCCCCTGAGCTCTTGGTCCGCCAAAGACATTCACCCGATTCCGCACGATGAACCTGTATGAGCCTGAGACTATCACTGTGCCGAGGAGACTAGGGTTTAGAGAGGTAAAGACGCTGGTGCAATGCTACACAGGGGGAGCTGACATTCGAACCCACGGCGCTGGCTTGCCCCAGCATCAGCGTTAACAAGGATGGAAGATCAACGAGGGGAGTGCTGAGAGCATCCTCGGCATGCACGAGCTGACGCCCCATTTAGGGGTACTGCAGCCTGCCTCGGGCCCCCCTTCTACACAGGAGGAAACTGAGGCTCGGAAAAAGAAGCCGTGGCCCGCACTGAGACTCCAGACCCTTGGTCACCCCGCATCTCCATCCTCCGACCCAGTCCCGCCACCCGGGCCCGCACCTCACCTGGCCCAGCGGGCCCGCACCCCCGAGAGCAGCCCGTCCGCCCTCCCGACCGCGCCAACTGTCAGCCACTCCTCCCTCCGCCGGGGCCACCCGCCCCGGAAGTCCTGCCCTGGATACCGGATCTGAGTGGCCCGCCCACCTGGCCGCTCTAGGCCTCGAAGCCGCCAACCAGCGAGAAAGGGCGGCGATCGCGGTCACGTGACGGCACGCGGCCTCCCGGGCTCCTCCTCTCATCCCTCCCCTCCCCCTTCCCCTCCGGACTACCCCGCCCGAGCTAGCGGAGAGCGCCGCCAATCAGAAACGCTCAGGTCGGGCCGCCCCGCCCCGCCCGCACTCCAGCCGAATGCGCCTGCGCGCAGGTGGGCAGGAAGGCGGGGCTAGGTAATGGAGTGGGAGACGTGGAGTGCAGGTACTGTGCGATCTGGGGGCGCGCCGCCTCGGCTGCCCCCTCTGTGTCACTTTCTCGTTTGCAATGCATCTCTCCTACGTCGTCCTTGGCCCACGTCGGTGCCCCCATTCCTTCTCTTAAGTCAGATCCTACTTAAATCGTCGCCACCACCCGCTCCTGTCGCCGTGACCTTCCCTTACAATCGCCCCACCGTTAAAAATATTTTACTTTTGTTTCTAATTGTCTGTGTGTCTGTGGCTGCGGTGAGATCAGGAGACGTCAGATTGCCTGGATTTGTAGTTCCAAATGGTTGTGAGCCACCTGATCTGGGAGCTGGCATTCTAACTCCGGCCATCTCCCCTAGATGTGCACTTTTCTCTGTTTATGTGACAAGGTCCCATTATAACACAAACTGGCCTGGAATTCGCCACGCATCGTAGTATGGCCTTGAAATTCGGATCAGTTTGCTCAGCCTCCTGAGTGCAGGGATTACAGGCATGCCGAGCCAATCTCTCTTTCTGTCATCATTGTCTTAGTTACCCACACATCTTTTTGTTGCCATTTCTCCTTCACGAAACCCTCACTTGCCCTACATCTCTTCAGATCAGCTATTCCCATAATCCCTGTCACCATCTCCCCACATTCTACATATTTCCATAGTGAAGGGTATTAAAGCCTAGGTTATGCCAGGGTCCCAACTTCACTCCTAAGCCTGTGCATAACCCTGGTCCCCAAATCATCCCTCTCCAACCCTGCTTTCCCGTCTGTAAAATGCACACAGTGGCCAACAGGTTTGTGTGTCTTTAAACCCAGTGCTAAGGAGGTAAGGTACATAACAAGTTTGAGGCTGACCTGGGCTACATGAGACTCTGTCAAACAACAAAAGCACATAGGGAGAAGTGTGAAAAAAAAAATCTGATCGTCTGTTCCTTTGTTTGTTCATGGTTGAGTCTTGTATAGCTTAGGTGTGTGTAGCAAAGATCCGCTTGCCTCTGCCTCCAGGCACTGGCCACCATGCCCAGCCCTAAGAACTTGTTTCTGTGACAGTTAATTTACTGTAGCATTTGGGCTAATATTGTCACTTTGTTACTGCCCATGTCTCCCTCACCCATGACGCTATCATCAGTGTGATGGATGTTATGGGCTTGAGTAGAGGGATCTGTGGGTAGCACTTGGTGTGCAAACAGGAGGACCTGAGATTGGATCCCCTGCACCCAGGTGAAAAGTCAGATGTGGCGGCACGTATCTGCAATTGTTGGTGCTCCAGACGCAGAGATAGGCAGGTCCTTGGAACTTTTTTCTCCTTTTTAGTGTCTAAAGTTTTGTCTTTGTTTGGTTTTTTTTTTAAGATTTATTTATTATGCATACATGTATCTCTGCAGGTCAGAAGAAGGCACCAAATCTCATTACAGATGGTTATGAGCCACCATGTAGTTGCTGGGAATTGAACTCAGGACCTCTGGAAGAGCAGGCAGTGCTCTTAACCTCTGAGTTATCTCTCCAGCCCTTGTCTTTGTTTTTTTAAAATATATATGGGTGTTTTTCCTGCATGTATGTATGTCTGAGAACTTCATGTGTGTTTGGTGACTACAGAGACCAAAAGAGGACATCAGTCCCCCTGGAATTAGAATCATAGATGGTTGCAACCTACCCTATCGATATGAGAATTGAATCCCGGTCCTCAGGAAGAGTGGCCAGTGTTCTCTAAGCCATCTTTCCAGCGCCAGATTCCTCAATCTTACTGGCTAGCTAGCCTTGTCAAGTCAGTGGCCAGGTTCAGCAAGAGGTACTGTCTCAAAAAATAAAAGATTGGTCAGGCATGGTGGCACATGCTTTTAATCCTGGCAATGAGGCAGAAACGGGGAATCTCTGTGAGTTCCAGGCCAGCCAGAGCTACCACGTAAGACCCTGCCCAAAATAATTATAACATTATATATAACATATATAATTACATATAAATAATTATAATAATAGTAATTGCAGGATAAAGGAAAACACTTGACTTTGACCTCTGACTCCCACACATGTGTACACACAGTCCTCACATACACATGACACACACATTGCACTCTCTCCCAGCCTGGCCTGCATTCACTGTCTTACAATGTCAGTGTGTTCATAACCCCACTCTGCCACCACAGACAGCCACAACACCCTAGGATCTCCGTGTTGCAGTGACCTCTGCAACTTTGTAGTCATGGACCCAAACAGTGGCCTGTGCACTATCAGCCAGCTTGCTTCTGTGCTTAGTCTCTCTGTTCTGTTGGATTGTGTGACCCTCACGACCCACAATGAGAGCAGGTAGCTAGCTAGTGCTGTGGAAACTGATGGGGGCTTGGGGAGGTTGTTTAGATATAGTTCTCCTTGGACTTCTAGAATGTGGGGTGGGAAGCTACAGGCAGACACAGGAAGCAGGAACTCAACCTTAGTCAGACCTCAGCAGTGAGCTAGGCATGGTGGTGCACCTCTTCAGTACCAATACTAAGGAGACTGAGATGTCTGGAGTTCAACACCAGCCTGGTCTATGTAGGGAATTCCAGGCTAGCCAAGACTATAGAATGAGACCTTATCTCCAAACAAAACTCAAACCAGTAGTGGTGAGTTACCATGTGGAGAGGTAGCTTAGACTTGTCTTATGCAATACTTTTTTTGGTTTTTTGAGATGTCTCGTGTAGTATAGGCTGCCTTGAACTTATTGTGTAATTGAGGAGAATAACTTTGAACTTCTGCTCCTCCTGCCTCCAACTTCCTGGTGCTGAGATTATAGAAGTGTGTCAAACACATAGGTTCTGTCTCAGATGTTATTTTATACCTGAGTTTACTTTAGCCATGTGAGTCTGGGGCTGGAACACCCTGGTTTGTTTGTTTGTTTGTTTGTTTGTTCCATTGTACTTTTAAACAGCATCTTACTGTGGAGTCCTGGCTATCCTGGAACTCTCTATGTAGACCAGGCTGGCCTTAAACTCACAGAGATCTGTCTGCTTCTGCCTCTCAAGTGCTGGCATTAAAGGTTTATGCCACAAGCCAGGCTGTGGAGGCACAAATTATAAACTATTTGGCCTATTGCTCAGGCTTATTACCAACAAACTCTTACCACTTAAATTAACCCATAATTCTTATCTCTGCTTAGCCGCGTGGTTTGGTACCTTTTTTAAAGTAAGGCATTCTTGTCTTGCATCCTCTGCATCTGGCTGGCAACTGCATCTCTGCCTTCCTCTTCCCAGAATTCTCCTAGTTTGGTAGCCCCATCTAGACTTCCTGCCTGGCTACTGGCCAATCAGCATTTTATTAACCCAATAGGAGTGACAACTCTTTACAGTGACCAAGAACATTATCCCACATCAGTGTATGCCACCACAAACATCCTTCCTTGGTTGGGTAACTAAGTAGCTGCATGACCTAACAGTGTGCATATCCCCTACTATGCCTAGGTTCACACACCTGCAGTAAGCCAGGACTGTGGCTCACACCTCTAATCCCAGCATTTAGGAGGTTGAGGCAGGAGGATCAAGAGTTTACAGTTGTCTTTTGCTACATAGTGAGTTTGAGGTCTGCCTGGGCTATGTAAGACCCTAAAAATGCCAACGGAGAAGAAAGGAAAGTACAAGTTATTCGTTCAACATATTTCCTAAAGATTTGCTGTGTGCCCAACGTTGCCAGGCACTGAGGACAAATAAGTGACCGGAACACAAGGACGCCTTGATCTTATGGGGGTCTATAGTCTGGTCGGCATGAGAGACAATGAGTAAATAAGTAAGTCAGTTATTTTGTAGGGTAGAAGGAGACGCAGAATGTACGGTCCTCTTGTAGTTTCAGAGCCTGGTATGATGTCGGGCACCTGTAATTCCAACCAGCACTTAGGAGATGGAGACAGGAGGATCTGGGTTCCGGGTCATCCCTAGCTACGTAGTAAGTTGCAGACTAGCCTGAGCTACATAGAGGGACCTTATCTCTCTCTCTGTGTGTGTGTGTCTGTCTGTCTGTCTATCTGTCCATTGTGGTGATGCACACCTGAAATCCTAGCACTCTAGAGACTGAGGCAGGAGGATTAAGAATTCTAGCCTAGGCCCTTCAGTGGTGGTGCATACCTTTAGTCATAGCACTTAGGAGGAAGAGGCAGGTGATCTCTGTGAGTTTGAGACCAACCTGGCATATAGAATGAGTTCCAGGACAGGCTCCAATGCTACAGAGAAACCCTATCTCAGAAAACCAAAAAAAAAAAAAAAGAAGAAGAAGAAGAAGAAGAAGAATTCTAGCCTGGCCTGGCCTGGCCTGAGGTACCTAGACCCTGTCTCACTACAACCAACCCTGTGGGGGTGTGCATATGCTCAGAGGCCAAAGAAGGACGGCGTCAGTGGCCTCCTTTGTCACTGTCTGCCTTATTCCTTTGAGACTGGGTCCCTCACGGAACCTTGAGCTTGGCTAGGTGAACCCAGCCACCCTGCTTCCAGTGCTAAGGTTACAGGTGCTGCACCCAGCTTTTTATGTGGCTGCTGAAGATTCAAACACAGATCCTTAGGCTTCGGCAGCCAACACACTTGCCCAGTGACCCACTCTCCAGTCTCTAGTGTGATTTCTTTTTGTTTGGTTTTGTTTTCCAGATAGGGTCCAGACTGGCCTGGAACTCATGATCCCCCTGCCTCAGCCTCCTGGGTGCTGGGATTAAAGCCTTTTGTACTGTTTCTAGAATAAAGCTTATCAATGGGAAGCCACTGCATAGATTTAGTT